GGCCGTCTAGCAGTGCTACAATGTCCGAGAACCATATCCGGGTCGGCCAGCGGGGTGCTACTAAAAGTAGGCTGATCCCTTCCCGGCGGACCCGCTCCAAGACTCCCGGGAGCAGAGCGATCGGGGGTAATGCGTACAGACGCAGCCTCGGCCACGTCTGTGTCATAGCGTCCAGCCCCAACGGAGCTGGATACCTGAGAGAGAACCACAGTGGACAGTGGGACATCTCTCGAGACGCGAACAGATCCACTTCCACTGGGCCGAATCTCACGCACATGGCCTCCACCACCTCGGGGTGGAGTCGCCACTCCCCGGGCCTCAGCCCCTGCCTCGACAGGACGTCTGCTCCCTGATTTTGGTCCCCGGGGATATACATCGCTCTGAGAGACGACAGTTTCCCCTGGGACCACAGAAGGATCTGGTGTGCCAGTCTGCATAGAGGGCGCGACCTCAGACCTTCCTGGTGATTCAGATACGCGACTACGGACATGTTGTCCGAGCGTATCAGGACATGGTGGCCGCAGAGGTCCGGGAAAAAACTCCTCAGAGCTTTGTAGACCGCCAGCATTTCCAGGCAATTGATGTGCCAGGAAGAATGCCGGGTCTCCCACAGACCTCTCGCAAAGCGGCCGTCCATGACCGCGCCCCAACCAGTGAGGGAGGCATCTGTTGAAACGGCTTTCCGGCAACATGATGCTCCCAGCACCGGTCCCTGGGACAGGAACCAAGGTTTCCTCCATATGACGAGGGAACGAAGGCATCTGCGCGTTACCCTGATCATAAGGAACGGATTTCCCCTCGGGGAAAATCCCTTGGTTCTCAACCACCACTGTAGGGGTCTCATGTGTAGCAGGCCAAAAGGTATAACACTGGACGCTGCTGCCATGAACCCCAGCAGTCTCTGAAACTGCTTCACAGTGAGGTTGTGGCCTAGCTTCGCTCTGGAGACCATCGCCCGTATGGACTCCATGCGTGCGGGAGACATTTGTGCCCGCATCGTCGTGGAGTCCCATACAACTCCCAGGAACGTAGTCCTCTGGGAGGGCGTCAACACACTCTTCTTTGTGTTGAGTCTCAACCCCAGGCTCTGGATGTGGGCGAGGACGACATCTCGATGCCGAATCGCCAGCTCTCGCGACTGGGCCAGTATCAGCCAGTCGTCGATGTAGTTGAGCACCCTGATGCCCTCGAGCCTCAGGGGTGCTAGAGCTGCATCCATGCATTTTGTAAAAGTGCGAGGGTAGAGAGCTAGGCCGAACGGAAGAACCCGATATTGGTACGCTTCGCCCCCGAAAGCGAACCTCAGGAACTTCCTGTGACATGGAAGGATGGAAATATGGAAGTATGCGTCCTTCAGATCTATCGTGAAGAACCAGTCCTCGAACTGGATCTGACTCACGATGGCTGGAATTGTGAGCATTTTGAACCTGAATCTCCTCAGAGACCGATTCAAGTGCCTGAGATCTATTATTGGACGCAACCCCCCATCCTTCTTGGGAACTATGAAGTACCGGCTGTAGAACCCGGACTCCCTGTCTGGCAGAGGAACACGTTCTATGGCCTCCTTGACCAACAGGGATTGAACTTCCTGTTCCATAACCCGAACCTGCTCTGGGCCAACCACAGTCCAGACCACCCCGTTGAACCTCGGGGGAGGGCAACTGAACTGCAGCCTGTAATCCAGTTCTACAGTACGCAGGGCCCACGCAGATATATTCGGAAGGCATGACCATGCGCCGAGATAATCTACCAAGGGAACCAGCCTCTCGAGGCTGGCCTCGGGTGTTATTCGAGACTCGTTCCCGACCCCCTGAAGCGGCTGGCCGGCAGGGAGCGGTCGACAACGGTTTTCGGTGGGCGGACGCGTTCGCTGCCCAGCCGCAAGTCTTAATAGAGGCGGCTGGAGCGGCGTGCTTACGCGGGAAATCAGTGTGGCCCGAAGCGTACTGGACGGCGGGAACACAGCACTGACTTCCCAAGAGCTCCGGGACGGAAGCGACCTCGCTCGCTCCACCCCGGGGGGGACAGCTCTGAGGGGTGCGGCGTCTAGGACCGCTTAGAGGAAGCCTTCTTTGCCTGAAGGACGGTCCTCAAATCGACCTTAGGCACAGAAGGCTTGCCGCGAGAGCGCCGTCTCCTTTGCCAGGATCCCTCGGGAGGGGCGCGACACTCTCTTTTTGCACGTACCGGTGCGAGGAGCTGGCAGGCGGCCGAGGCTGCCCTTTAGAGACAGCCTTCCTCGAGGAGCCAGAACGGCGAGGGAGGTATTGCTGGAAGGCCGTCGACTGCTTTTTCACCTCCTGAAACCTCCCGACTACGGTATCAACCGCGCCGCCGAAGAGGCCAGACGGTGAAATCGGGGAGTCTAGGAGAAAGAGTTTTTCTCTCTCCTTCATCCCCGACAAATTAAGCCATAAATGTCTCTCCACACACACCAAGCCAGCCATGGAGCGGCCGATGGCACGGGCCGTCTCCTTGGTGATGCGGAGAGACAGGTCGGTGGCCTTCCTTAACTCCGTGATGTCACTCGGAGAAGGACCCTCACCCTCATCAAGCTCCTTGAGGAGGTCGGCCTGGTAGGCCTGCAACACCCCCATAGTGTGCAGGCAGCTGCCAGCCCGCCCAGCCGCCATGTAAGCCCTGCCCACCAGCGCAGATGTATCGCGGCAAGGCTTAGTGGGCAGCACCGGGGCCTTAAGGGACGAAGCGGCCTCGGGAGAAAGATAACTCGCGAAAGCCTCCTCTACCCGAGGCAACGTCCCATAACCACACTCAGCCGCCCCCAGCACATTCGAAAAATCAAGCACTGGGGGGTTTGAGAGCCTGGCTGAATACGGTTTCTCCCATGACTTACATAACTCGTTATGTAAGTCAGGAAAAAACGGAAGGCCCCGGCGTGGAGGCTGAGACCTGCGTTTGAAAAATCTTTCATCCAGCCTGCTTGGTGGCTGGATTTTTAATTCCTCCTGTGGCCAATCAATTTTTAGTTGGAACTGTAAAAGGCGGCTGCTGTTTTGTTTGTGGTGCTCTGTGACTTTACATCTGTCAAACTCTGCATAGCATGAGCTAAGTGTACAGTAGAAAAATCTGGCTGTACAGTACATGCGCACTATGCTTATGATGAAATGTCGCTCACTGTACTCTATGCGTGAAAATTGGAGTATACTTTGTGCTTAAGAAAACATTGGTTATTTAATGCATTAGTAATGTTTTTTTTTCTCAAATAAAATTGGAAAAAGTGATATGACCCCTTTAAATTAATCATTTTTTAGAAGGTTATCTCGAGTCGCAGCCTCATATACTCATCTCATCATTGATTTGTTGCTTTACTCGATGCATTTGCATATTCAGTTCATTTTGTGACTCTAAAATCAGAATATTCAGTCAGTCATCCAACAAACATCCAAACATATTGTCCTGGACACTGTCGTAATGGTTCTGTTATCATAATGTGTTTTAAAATCAAATGTCAGATACAGAAACAAGTCCTGGCAAAACAAGTCCAAATGTCTGTTGACTGCATCAGTAATATGCATTTCTCTGATTCCAGATGCAGTTCATGTAGGTGAAGGAGGGTCGACGCTTCCCAAGGATGAATTCTACGGCAAATCTCAAACCTTTAATCTCTCTCCAGTTGGGTGTTCGGCACTTCAAGGAGAATTCTGCCCCGGTACAAACCTGTACAGGAATCAGAGGGAGGGGTGGGAGGGGCATTATGGGATATGATGGGTGGGGTTGGGAGGGGTAAGACTTTGTTGCCCAGATATGGAGGACTGAGCGCTCTCATTTTGTAATTTGTCTAACGCGGTAACAGTTATTGTACTGGTCTGCGTCTGTAACGAGAAACAAGGGTGTTGAAAGAGTGCAGGAATGTGGTGGGTTTTCACAAACACAGCTTCACTTTTTTTTCCATGGAATGGAGAACCTCGGGATCGGGAAGTTGTCTTTATCCGATCATCAAGCAAGCATTACCTGATTTAACTATCTCCAATTACATCGGTTTCATATTTTTTATGTTATGACATTTGCAGTAGACATTCCTTGTGTATTGTCTGTATTTATTTATGATTTTCCCACTGAGGAATTTTTTTTTCTTTTATGCTCTTCCTTATGGGAGGTGTTTGAAATTATGCGTTCATATGGGTATGATTGGTTGTATAATTTGGATTTGAGTGACTGAATTATGATATATATATATATATATATATATACATACACATACATACCGTAATATAAAAAGAAAATGGGGGGAAATGGACACCTATAAACTGACTGATACAGCACTAAGTATTCTCAGAAGCAGTTGTATGTCTAGTGCAATTTCTTTGTTGCCCATACGCTCACCGCCCTCCATTTGTAATGGACATAGGATAAAATATACAAATCATTATGCCACATAGTCAGTTCTGTGCCCCGGGTGGGTGGGGGTTTGTGAGGGAGCATTTAGCAAAGCACTACATTTGTGATTCAGCGGCATTGCATTTGGGGAAGATCTGTATTGCTTTCTGCTTGGCATGTCATTATTTTACATTTCACAGTTGTATGGCTGCCTTTTCAACCTGAATGTGCAGAGTCGCCTTTGTTTTCGGGCCACCCAAAAGCAGTTGCGTGTGTGTTTGTGGGTGCGAGTGTGTAAATGTGAGTGAGAAACGCGGGTTGCCGTCGGTATTGGATGGGGTCGGTAGTGTCTAGCTGTAGGTCCTGTAGCGTGAAGAAAGGGGGCACTGTTGATCAGTGCTCAGTGTACATAAAACAGGCCCTGTCCAGTAGGGAAGTACACAAAGGGTGGTCTGAATATGAGGGCGATTTCTATCCATTGATTTTGCATATTTACTGCATCATCCCTGCAGATTCTATTTTGTTTATATGACAACAAAAAAAATGAAGCAGTATTTGGGTGATTTTCAAATAAAGTGCATCTTCCACAGAATTAAGTGTTTCTTTACTTATTGATCAGATTTATTTTTTTATGTAATGTTGTTTTGTGTGTGTATAAAATAGTTTTTTGGAATCCATGAAAATTTTGTCATTCTTGTTTTTAATTATCTAACAACTTCTGAATTTCACAGGTGTTGTATACAGATGCATCATATTCTGCAGACTGTGAAGCTGACTCCTGAAACTTTCTATTGATGATCTTTGTTGTAATCGGCCACTTTGCAGTTTGCAACAGGTCAAAGGTCATCTCCTCGCTCACATCCACAGGGTTGTTCGGTGGTGGGTGCAGAGTGGATGCTTTACCTATCACGCACAACAGTATCCGCCCCATCAAGTCCAGATGCATCGCCCTCTTAACACAAACACAAATGCAGCATGCTTAAAGCGGGTTTAAGTTTGCCTTCATTAACAAGGGCGGTGACTGTTCCCCATCCGTGCTCATTTCATCTATATTCTAGCCCATGATGCCTGGAACTGGCGGTGGGAAAATCAGACACTGTTTCCACAGGCCTTATCTCCCTTATGTGCCACTGAGAGGGCCTATTTAAGATTTGCTGCCTTTGGCAGAGAGGCTTTTTGGGAATTTTACTGGATAATATCTGTTATAAACAGATCGGAGGTGGTGTTTACTAGTCATGCATTCGTTGCTAATCAAAAATTAACGACTGTTTATTGATGCCATCTTCACTCTGAATGTGACTAGGTGGGGCGAACACAGCTAGCATTGTCTATGAATGTAGTACAATTAATTTACCGTGAAAGTAGTCTGACTACTGTACATCTCGCTGAGGTCAGGTGGGGTGGAAGGAGTTGTGCCATCACAGGCAGTAGCATCTCTTTCCTGTTGAGCCTCTTCAGCTAACGGCTGGAGGGAATACGGGGGTCTGTTGACCAATGCTGGAATTAAATTGACATGAGTGATTAATGATAAGTATTTGCTGGCCAACGTCAATGTGTGTGGCTGTTGGCTCTATAGACGTGCACTCAGAGGCCATTAAGTTTAAACTGCTGAGGACATGAAGTTTTGAGCGCTAATGAAAACACTGCCGCCCTGTAATGTATTGTGTATATAATGACAAGACTTCCTCTACTTTGGGAGCATTTAGAGAGGGCTGAACAGTGCCAGTATTCAGAGAGCTATAAAAGTCTCCCAAACTGGTAATACTGGGCTGTGGTAGATTATTTAAAGTGTTGTACTTATATGATTACAATAAAAGTCTTATTGCTTTGTTTAATTTTAGTTGGTCAAAGAAGAGTTTAGTGCTAATTATTGGAGCTGGTCAGTTTGTAGTCTTGATTCTCAGAAGAAAATTAGCATGTATCATATTTCCTATGTTTTTTTGTTTTTAAATGGTGGTTATTGATTTGAGTAATAGGTGTATTCACATTAGCAAAATTTCCCAGACATAAAAGATCTATTTTCTGTTGTCAATAGTGTACAGATAAATGAAGCATTGTTCACACAGAAGTCACCTTAACACCAAGCACCTTTCTGTTGGTCAACGTGGTGAATCCATGTGACCAACTCGAAATATTTCACCGTGACAGGAATCCATACAAAATTTCAAATCTAGTCATTTCAATAGGAATCCGTGCGACTGCAAAAGTGCAGCTCTCACCAACAGAAAACTTGGTTTAAAAAAAGTGACAAAAGTGCTTGCAAAACTAAAATATTAGGTGGGAAGAAAGACTACATTACAATCCTTTTGTGAGCAAATGCAAAGTTTCACATGGGAACTGCAATATTAGAACTTCTTGGTCTTCATTGTGAAGTTTTTCTCTTTTGTCCTCAAAAATACTTCAACATGTTATATTAAACTCTTGTGGGCCTTAAAATATTTCTACATTCAAGATTACAACCTTAACTAATCAGGCAACTGTTGTAATCCTTATATAGTATAATTTTTGTCCCCAAATTACACCTCAGAATGGTTGTTAGGGTTTGAGACTGTTTTCCATTAGACAATCAGCATTGTCATGTCACATTTCTGTGTCCAGGCTAGAGTAACTATCCTGGTGATTGGCTCAAAACAATCTGATGGTGATCAAAACAACTGAGCTCCCTTAAACAAAAATGATGGATGAACAAAGATTTCAAATCACATACTTCCAAGAGTCCGAACTACTGCCATTCAAATGAATAGGAATGCTAATGGATGCTTTCTCCACGATTCATACTTATGCTACTCTTCTTTACTGTTTTAGTATTTCTACTGTTATGGTGCCATCTATTGGTTATAAAAAGGCAATGCTGCTTAGATAAAAAGCACCAGGTGTTCAGTTAAGTCTTGTTTTTTATTCTTAGACTGAACACTGCTATTATTAGCGATGGTTGGATTACCTGATGTTTCCTCGAGGCTTATTTTCGTTATGTTCCTATCCGTACTACGGGTGTCATGGGACCCAACGCTAGCAGATTGCGCAAGAAATTCATCGTCTTGGCTGAGGGAAACGAGAACACTATGAATTCAAACTTTATGGTCTCACAGCTTCAAAGTCAAGCTCATACCTGACCAGAGGATCATCCATACAGAGTATTTGGAAAAGATTATCAATATGTTCCAGGTTTTCCTTTTCTAACTGCTGGATGGTGGATTCCAACACTGCGACCCTGTTAATATATAGGGGAACCTGACATGGGAGATTAGCTGCACTTTATAATCTGTACATGCACGATAGGATGCAAGTATGATAAAACCTAAATCTAGACCACACCTGTTTAATCAGCTGAAAATTTTCTTTAATCAATGATTTTCTGTCTTTATCAAGGTTTTCAATTGCTCTCTGAAACATAAAGACAGTTTCAGTACCTCAGAACATATATACTACTAGACAATGTGTTGGCAGACTGCAGTACCTTAAGGGCAAGCTGATTTATATCCTTGATACTTTGTGCTTCCATTTGCTTGTCTTTTTCAACAGCTGCAGCCAGAGATTTCTGAAAATGTTCTGAATTTTTTATTTATTAAATTATTATTTGTGTTATATAATTTAAACAATAATGTTGTGGCTATAAGTTTACATACATCTACAAAATGTTAATAATTTCAAATAGATGGATCGTTTTATTAGTTCTGCCCTGAATAGCTCTTTCACATAGCAGATGTTTACATAGTCCACAAACATTTTTATTCAATTTACAATAACCAGTTCAAAAGTTTACATACACTTGATTCTTAATACTGTGGTTTTTACTTGGAAGATCTACGGCTGTTTTTATGTTTTGTGATAGTTCATAGATTTTTCTTCAGTTTAACTGCCCAGGACATTAAAGGAACTCATAAACAACTATCACTAAATAAATAAAAGTCATGGATCATCCAGATAATGTAATAATATGTTTTTATAAATGTAGCTGTTATTTGTCTTGGCTAAATGTAAACATCTGTTATGTGAAATTGTTTATTTAGGGCGGTAATACATAATAATAATTATATATAACAGTGCCGATTTTGCAAGATGTAAATTTATGACCACAATTGTATGAAATATAATAAAATATTTAAACATTGTGTTCTGATTGCTGAAGATGGGAAAACGCACCTGATAACTCCTGGAAAATCATTTGTGTAAAGGCAATATTTTTTTCCAGTTTTTCTATCTTTTGATGGTCTTTAATGCTGCCCTCGTTTTTGTACTGTAGCCATTCCTGCCTGTCCGTCTGCAGTTCCTCCACTTGCACCTGCAGCCTTGCAAGTTTACAGCGTAGTTCTTTCTCACACAAATGCACACACGACAAATATTACAACACCGCGTAACCATACAAGAAAAAGCCCACTGAAGCACAGAAATCTACATTACAATAATGTACAGGTCCTTCTCAAAAAATTTGCATATTGTGATAAAGTTCATTATTTTCCATAATGTAATGATAAAAATTAAACTTTCATATATTTTACATTCATTGCACACCAACTGAAATATTTCAGGTCTTTTATTGTTTTAATACTGATGATTTTGGCATACAGCTCATGAAAACCCAAAATTCCTATCTCAAAAAATTTGCATATTATGAAAAAGTTCTCTAAACGAGCTATTAACCTAATCATCTGAATCAACTAATTAACTATAAACAACTGCAAAAGATTCCTGAGGCTTTTAAAAACTCCCAGCCTGTTTCATTACTCAAAACCGCAATCATGGGTAAGACTGCTGTCCAGAAGGCCATCATTGACACCCTCAAGCAAGAGGGTAAGACACAGAAAGACATTTCTGAACAAATAGGCTGTTCCCAGAGTGCTGTATCAAGGCACCTCAGTGGGAAGTCTGTGGGAAGGAAAAAGTGTGGCAAAAAACGCTGCACAACGAGAAGAGGTGACCGGACCCTGAAGAAGATTGTGGAGAAGGACCGATTCCAGACCTTGGGGGACCTGCGGAAGCAGTGGACTGAGTCTGGAGTAGAAACATCCAGAGCCACCGTGCACAGGCGTGTGCAGGAAATGGCCTACAGGTGCCGCATTCCCCAGGTCAAGCCACTTTTGAACCAGAAACAGCGGCAGAAGCGCCTGACCTGGGCTACAGAGAAGCAGCACTGGACTGTTGCTCAGTTGTGCATGTCATTCGGAAATCAAGGTGCCAGAGTCTGGAGGAAGACTGGGGAGAAGGAAATGCCAAAATGCCTGAAGTCCAGTGTCAAGTACCCACAGTCAGTGATGGTCTGGGGTGCCATGTCAGCTGCTGGTGTTGGTGCACTGTGTTTTATCAAGGGCAGGGTCAATGCAGCTAGCTATCAGGAGATTTAGGAGCACTTCATGCTTCCATCTGCTGAAAAGCTTTATGGAGATGAAGATTTCATTTTTCAGCACGACCTGGCACCTGCTCACAGTGCCAAAACCACTGGTAAATGGTTTACTGACCATGGTATTACTGTGCTCAATTGGCCTGCCAACTCTCCTGACCTGAACCCCACAGAGAATCTGTGGGATATTGTGAAGAGAAAGTTGAGAGACGCAAGACCCAACACTCTGGATGAGCTTAAGGCCGCTATCGAAGCATCCTGGGCCTCCATAACACCTCAGCAGTGCCACAGGCTGATTGCCTCCATGCCACGCCGCATTGAAGCAGTCATTTCTGCAAAAGGTTTCCCCGACCAAGTATTGACTATTGAGTGCATAACTGAACATAATTATTTGAAGGTTGACTTTTTTTTTGTATTAAAAACACTTATTTTATTGGTCGGATGAAATATGCTAATTTTTTTAGACAGGAATTTTGGGTTTTCATGAGCTGTATGCCAAAATCATCAGTATTAAAACAAAAGACCTGAAATATTTCAGTTGGTGTGCAATGAATCTAAAATATATGAAAGTTTAATTTTTATCATTACATTATGGAAAATAATGAACTTTATCACAATATGCTAATTTTTTGAGAAGGACCTGTATAAAAGTAGTCAATACTAATATGTGTTGTGCGCTATATTTTAAGTGTTCTATAGCCGTTGCTTTGTATGATGAACAGACCAGTCAGCGACTCGATAACCTGTTCAATATGTGAATAAATCAGATCGTGTTTATGAACTGGATCAAGTTTCGCTGAGAAGATGGGCTCTTAGTTGATTCATTCGTCGCTAGCTACTTTTCATGAACACAACACAAAGCTATCATATATGGCTTTAAATGTGAAATAAAGTGTATAAATCATATTGAATTGTTTTAGAATTTTTATGGAATCTTGCATTTTGAAGCTTGAAATATGGGGACATTTTAAAAACGTGGAAAACGCTCAACGTGGCATATGAACCGAATTAAGACATGATAAAACATTAGAATCAGTACTGTACACATTATCAATGATGAATATATACAGGCAAGGATGAGCCCAGAATTTGAACGCAACATGCTAAATTGCATGTTATGCATTTTCTTTATTATGGTTTTCTATGGGAAAAACGTAACGTTAATGTCAAACTTTTGCGCGTATAGCGTACATATTCTGGGTTCATCTGCTTGCTAGCTTGTTGTATAGCTAGGCGGAGGTATGTTTTATTAATAAGTTGAATAAGGCTTATTAATTAAGGCTACTGAATTTGGTTTTTTTTTTTTTTTAAACGTCTTTATACATTAAAGTCACCATGAAAACCACAATTGACTATTCTTATTTTTTATATATTGCATTATTCATTATCAATGATTCCTACACATTAATTTTTTCATTCATGTGCCCGCGTAATATATTTTTATTATCAAAAACGACTCTTCTTTTAAAGCTTGAAAGACTAAATAGGCCATAATGTTATAACTGAAAAGAAGGCCCAATACATTGTGTGTGTGTGTGTGTGTGTGTGTGTGTGTGTGTGTGTGTGTGTGTGTGTGTGTGTGTGTGTGTGTGTGTGTGTGTGTGTGTGTGTGTGTGTGTGTGTGTGTGTGTGTGTGTGTGTGTGTTCCACAGAAGACAGAAAGTAAGCTAACAGTTAAATGACGACAGAATTTCATTTTTGAGTGTACTATTCCATCAAAACTTTGTTGTGTCACTCGGGTACCTTCTAGATGTTTCTCTTGCTCTTGTTTTAGCTCCAGGTTCTCTTGAGTCGTTTGTTTCACCTGCTCTTCATCTTCTCGCTGTCTTTGCTCCAGGTTCCTTTCCCGCTCCTTTATCTGTTTATTTAGTTCACGGACGTGACGTGTCTTCTCTACTCTCAGCTGCTCCTGCTGCAGATAGATAGCTACATGTGTTTGAATTTAGCCTTCCTCCTCTCCATCATCATCTTCAACAACATTAGACCACCACTTACCAGCTTTATCAGTTTTTGGTTCTTATCTTCTAGTTGGCACATTTCATCCTTAGAATCTTGAATTTCTTTCTTTTTAACCTGAATTCTATTATAAATAAATTAAGATAGACTATTAAATCATGGGAATAAAAACGCAAAATAGATTAAGATAATATTGAGCACCGTACTAACTGGAACTGTATGAAGGCCTCTGCTAGAGATGTTATATCTAATGTCTTGCTCATTTTCAGTTACATACAAGTTGTTTACATCGTATCCTTGATATGAAAAACAAACAAAACAACAACATTTATTAAACCTTTCAACAGGCCATGCTAAAATAATCTGTGGGTAAGAGAGCAATCTTACCGGTGAGCTGCGAGTGTTTTCTTTTTTATTCTACGATTAATTTTGACCTTATCGGAAATGTTTACACGTTGTTGTTATGGAAACGAAACTAACTGCCGCTGCGAAGTGCGAACTCGACCAGCAGGTGTCGACATTTCAATGGAGCAAAACGTGTAGGGAGAACCCATAGGGGAGAACCCGGGGGAGAACCGGACAATAAAAGTGTTTATAAAACTTTTTTTTGTTTTTCATTTCCTGGACGTACAAACCTACGGAAGCCCCGAACCGCAACGTAATATATATATATATATATATATATATATATATGCTATTTCGAGTATATATATATATATATATATATATATATATATATATATATATATATATATATATATATATATATATATATATATATATATGCTAGCCTTTCGAGATTAAAGTCGAAATATTTCGAGATTAAACAGATCACGGGATCCGGCTAAATGATTGGATACAGAATGATGCACTTAAAATGTTGCCTATCCAGAAAGGATTTACGTGAAGAGGGAGACAGACTGTAGGCCTACGGTTACTGTTAAGTGTTCTTGACCCAGACGAGCACGAAGACACGTATAGGCTTCGAGTCAACGTGCCAGTGCCACACAGAGCCATAGAGAAAGATATACAATATAATATTGGCTCTGGTGCCACATAGTTTTCCTTTTGGTAGAATTTCCTTTTGTTGAAAGCCCAGATAAAAGTAAAAAACCTACAATTATATTTAGATCCATGCCAGAAAGCAGTTCGACTTCACGTGCGCATTTCTTTACATAAAAATAAACAAATAAGAACTTCTACGGAAGACTGTATTCTCGTAATTTTGACTTTATTCTCAAAATTGTACGACTTTATTCTCGAAATATTTCGACTTTTTTGAAATGACGTTAACTACATTGATTCACAGGGAGTGGAGAGACAGAGGAACGTAGTGCCGCTATAGAGAATGTTTAATTTTCATAGCCTTATGCCAGCCGAACTTAATAGCCTACAAATACGTGTCTCATTTCCATTATGCACAGGATGTTTTGTGCTGTCATCGAGAGGACATAGTTACACAATGATGCATATGGCACGTGCGTGTGATAGAATTAAAAGTTTATAAAAGTGACGTGACCACGCCTTTAAGAGCGCCCAAGGGGATGTGTATCAAAACTTAGTTAACCTCCTACCTAGACAGCATTTCTGGATATCGTTCGGAACTCACCACAAGTTCATCTACAAAGCGTTTTTAGTCCTTACTAGGTGTTGACACAACCAGAGTGGAGGACAGGACACACATACACACACACACACACACACACACACACGCCTCACTTAAGGCTGGAGACTTCGATGCAGCAAGTGTCTGGCAAATGGATTATTACCTTCCCCTGGTGCGGGTGTTTCAGATGTTACAGTAACAGTGTTGGAAAAATAACGCGGTCTAGCAGCCATACAAGCAGGATTCAGGTAATCTTTCTCTTGTCAGCTGTTTTATTTAGCCTTAATACTTACTGTTTTTGCTTTTTAAGATTTTCACTTCACTTAACAGTTTCCCTGCAATGACTTTGAAGTTTTGCTGCATGCTGTGACAGGGATGGGTTCTGTTTCAACAGGCGCTCATTTCATTATATTGTTTTCATGTCTGGAATTTTGTGTTTTTATCTCTGGATCCATTCGGAATGTTTTCTCATTTCCTGCTTCCCTAATCTGTTAATGCGTGTAAAGGTATTTGGGAAAGAATGCAGAGTATTTATTAACATACAGATCAAACAGTGATTAGTTACATGACCACAATGGTCCTTGTGGTTATAGTCTCTGAATCAGTTTATTACATTTTCTTCCACAGGAAAATATATTGAAACAAATATTTTACATTTTAAAAATACCGATTTAAACCATGTCTTGGTTTAAGATGTATTTTTTTCCCCCATAAAACAAACAAACACTGAAACTCATTTAAAAACATGTTCCACTTGATGAGTCTGTTCAGAGCTGAACGTTGTCATATTATATAGTTGTAATTTGACAATGCTGGTATAAATGCTGGTATCACTGTGAAAAAAACCCCCCAGATCCTTAAAACCCTTTCAAAACGGTTTGTAACACGGTAAAACACAATGTGGCCTGTTGCATAAACTGCTTAGACTTGCCTTAAACGTTAGTCATCTAATTTTTTTCTTCAAGACTGGTCTAAATTTTTAAAGTCAGCTACATTAAAAGGTAGATCAGTCTAATTTGAATTTGAATTGGACCAGTAAGACCGATTGCCCCTTTGTCAATTGCTAGCTTGTCAAACTAGTTCTTAAAACACTTAACAGTGCCTAAGTTTATGCAACTGGCCCCTGGCCTGTAAAAAGTGAATCCAAACCAGGTGGCAACTCTTTGTTATGGTACGTAGATGCCCAAAAGGGATGTGGAATAGACAAATGGTTAGCATGCATTATTAATGTTTACTGTGTTTGGATTGAACTAGTTCTTCTCTTTCGTCAATGATGTGCCCCTTGAAAAGTTATGATTTAGAGATCCTGCCTCAGGCAATTATCCCTCCTACGTTGTCATGACATGCCTTTCTCAGAACAACTGGACACTTTAATAATTTGCCTTTTTGAAATCTGATTTGTACTGAGCTAAATCATTTAGTGATGTATTTGAGGTTATTACAATTTTTGATTTAAAAATAAGTAATTATTTAAAAATGTCTAATGACTAGATAATCTTTATTATACAATCATACTAGCATAGCAAGCTTGGAACAAAGTTTTTTTTTTTTAGGCATTTCTCAAGGAAATGACTCAATCAAGAAAATGACTCGGGAACAGATTTCCAAAATAGGAAAGTAACAACAAACTTCCTCTTTGGCTGGAATGTGTGGAGGCTGTATCTAAAAGTCCAGATATATGCCCATGCAAGAGTCTGGTAGAAACTTGTTGCTGTTCATGTAACCTGTTATAATCTATTAAACATGTTACATTAAATGTAGCCTGATTGCATTCAATTATGCAAACCAAATTTATCTGACAGGATAGCCTGAAATCTGATTGTCAAGATAAAATATGTATGCATGCATAAACAAACAATCAAACAAACTTCAAATCATTTATTTATGAAACTGTGTCTGGCAAAAGGCTTTTAATTGTTTTAGACTTTTGTAAACTATTTCTAAGACATTTTAAATATAATTTATCTATAAAAATCACTGGCAAAATTCAGCGAGAAGGAATTTGTCTCTTATTATTGTTGAAAGCTCCTATGAGGCTTTTTTTTTTAAATATATTTCTCAAATTGGTAATTTTACCTTATCAATACATGTGGAATTCTGCCAACTTGGAATCCAATCCAAAAATATCATGATTCCAGTTATTTAAAATGGTTTTGTCATATTCCTACTTTTTCATGGATTTTAAACTGTCTTGCAGAAAAGCAGACTGTCCAAATTGATACCATTTGTGTGCTGCCACCTAATTTGAGTTAAGTGTAATTTGATTAAGGAATAAAAGAGTCTTTGACTGAGTTCTTTGCTCTCAGAAGCACCGATACCCATATCCTCAGATAGTCATCTGACAATGCCATGTCACATGTCCAGTGTTGTTGAGCACATACTGGACCGGCACTGATTCGGAGAAACAGTATGTCATTTCAAATGTTTAGGGAAGCGTAGATGATGCTCGAAGCAGCCTTCTTGAAAGCCCAGCTCATGGATTCATTTGGAACAATAAGGATCATGTGATGTCTTAATGGTCAGAGGAATTCACAGGGAAAACAGTTCTTTGTAAGCTGAGCTCATACGTTGGTAAATATTTATGGTTATTGCTGAATTAGCTGAAACGTTTGCTGTGTGTCTGGTGCAGGTGTTACAAGTCTCATCTGATGGTCTCCATGATGTGATGGAGTGACTTATCAAGCATCAGCCTTCAAGTTACCTTACTTGATGACACTTTTATTGAACCAGTCAGAGGCGATCTGAGACTCATCTTTTATCACTTACCCCGAAGCCATTCATCATGATTGACCTGACTTATCTGACAGAGGAAGAGCAAGAGATGATCCTGACTGTGCTGAAGAGGGACGCAGAGCTCAAGAAGTTGGAAGAACAGAGGATTAAGTGAGTTCAGGCAAAAGATTCTTGGTGGATTAAGACAAACGTTATATACACCCTAATAGGCCGTTCACACAGAACATTCCACATTTCCACTGTACTACTTTTCCATTGTATTTCTTTGTAAACAGATATCTTTCACCAGAGCGATCGCATCCCGTGTATTCATGCTGTTCCAAAAGTGTTGCTCTAAAGTTAAAATGAATTAACTATCAGAATAAACATAGTTTATTTAAAATAAATACATTGAAATGAACTTTTAAAAAAGTTTCTGAAGACCTTGTTTTTTTTTTTTACATTCTCTCATCTTTTGCAGTGTCTCTCACATAACACTGCGTTTTAAAAATGCAGCGCTCAAGAAGTTCATGTGTCAAATCAAACTGTACAATTTTTGCCAAATTTGAATCTCTCACTTGGTAGGCAGATGCCAACATAAACAGGGCATGGCATTCCCTCATCCTCAAAAACATGAACAAAAAGAATGAAAGAAAATTATAAAAGAAATTATGACCTATAGGAGAAAATATGGGTTACTGTTTTGGTGTGGTGTTATTCGCCATTTGATGTCTAACATAATATCTGGGTCCTGAAAGAATCTAAATCAGTTTCAGTTCTCACAGATAAACTGTCCAGAGTAATTCGTTTATAGTTCAGAGAATGTCTGGGATTTGTCCATGTGGATCTCACTGCTTAAGCTCACTGTAACGTTGAGACTTCAGGGAGTTTTCATTCAATGCCCATTTTTTATATGTCTATTTCCATACAAATAAACCAAGGATTCTGTCCTGCCCTTTCAGGCAGCTTCGAAAGACTGAGAGAGACAGAGGCAGGCTGAAGTACTTGACTGGGGAATGGTTTTACGAGACAAAGTACCACAGACACAGAGAGAAGATCCATGGCTCCGACATCATCAGAGCGTCCATGAGACAGAGGAAACCCGTGACGATATGTAAGTGTTGCCAGCAGACAGAATCGGGTAGAATCTCTGTTCACGTCTCTCATTATTTCCATTTCATTTACCCCGTCCCTGATTAGCACCTCGATTCAGTGTTTGCATCACTGTTATTCTGCTTTATATCACATTTTTACCTTTAATAAAAAATCACCCATATTTTCTCTATAGCATTTATCAAATGTAGTTCCATTAGACATTTGACGTGTACTTGTGTGTGTGTAAATGCATGTTTGAGCATAACAACAAGTCTCTTACTGCAGTGGAGCTCTCTCAAAGATGGTCTGAGAAATCCAGTCGTGTTTATGGTGAGAAGAAAGATGTGTACATCCCTCCAGAGCTTTCCGGACTCATTGAGGATCCTTCCACACAATCACAGAATGAGAGGTGAGCTTTTGGTGATATGTATATTTATGATTAGGATATTCTAGTAGAATGTTTCATCTGATTAAAACAGTACACTATGTGCTAGATTATTGTTGATTTTTGTGATCACATTTTTAAGCAATTAAGTATTTTGGATTATGATACTAGCTACAAACATTTTTAATGTTTTATAATTGTGTATTCATGCTCCTATTTTTCATGTCATAGTCGAGATAAGGCACAAGCAAAGAAAAAACAAAACACTTTGTAACAGTAGGCTAACAACTAGTAGACCTGTATATAAGCACATGACATGTCAGTCTAGTGGTACAGATTTGTATGTGTGTTCAAGAGTGTGTGTGTGTGTATACACTACCGTTCAAAAGTATGCTCACCCAGGCTGCATTTATTTGATCAAAAATACAATAAAACAGTAATATTGTAAAATGTTCTCTATTTTAATGTATTTTAAATATAATTTATTTCTGTACTGGCAAAGTGGAATTTTCAGCAGTCATTACTCCTATCTTCAATGTCACGTGATTCTTTAGTAATTCTTTGTAATGTGCTAAATTGGTGTTCAAGTAACATTTCTTATTATTAATGTTGAAAACAGTTTTGCTGTTTATTATTTTTGTGGAAACCATGATTAAAAGAAATTCAGGATTCCTTGTTAAATAGAAAGTTCAAAAGAACAGAAATTATTTGGAATATAAATATTTTTGTAACATTATAAATGTCTACTGTTGCGTTTGATCAATATAATAACAAATAACAAAAATCGTACTAACCCCTAAGCTTTTGAACAGTAGTGCGTACATTGTATAAACATTATTTAGAATATTTTCATTGGAAAGTGTAAAACATTTATTGTATAATCATGAGAAATGCCAGTTTTATTAAATGAGAGTAATAAACTAATATTACTGTTTATTAATAGTTAGTAGTAATACTAATATAAATACTAATAAACAGCCAATATCCTTTGCAATATGCATGCTAATAAGCAACTACCGGTCCTTAATATTTGGAGTTGGACCCTAAACTAAAGTATTATTGAAATTTCTAAGCTCAAAATTACTTTTCTGTTGTATCAAGCACATGCCATTGTTCTACTTGATTAAAGGATTGTACGGCGCCTCTGCCTTTTCAACAACCCAACACTGCATCCGCCCCATTAGCCTGGCTGGACTGTTCATGACAGCCTTAATTCTGTAGACACTAACTTTAAAAGCTCTCATATCGCAGCTCATGTAGAACTCTATGAAGAGAAACATAATCTCACTTCTTCAACATCACCAGTTCAAGCATGCTTGTTTATGTGAATTTAATGGAAATTCAGGCGTGAACCTGTGATATGTAGGCCTAATGTAATCTGTAGGGCAACCCTTTCCCATGCAGTCAGACAGGGTTGGTGAGGGGAATCTGGAGCCAGTAAACTGCTTCAGGGGTCAGATTTCACGTGCTGCTGTTTTCCCTCTGTCTGACAACATGTAATGGCATTATACACTCGCATCACATTATGGAAAAAAATGTTGTCCCCACTTAAGTGGTTGCTGAATCTTGTGACTTTCCATTGGCTTCAGGACCAGCACCATGAAGATGTATTGATGATTCAAATATATTGATTACATTATGCTGAACTGTTCACAATGATCAGTGCACAAAGCTGGTTTTTATCATGTTGGTCAATCTTTCATTCTTTCGTGAATCTGTATGACCATTATCACCTCATACAGGGTGGATGATGAAGCCCAGCAGGAAAGACCTCAAATCAAGGTACACTACAGACAATCCACTAAGATCATTTTGCTGAATTTTATTCATGATCATTTTTAATGGTTTTGTTGATTTCATTCAATTTATTATGTAGCCTAGGCAGAATCCATTCAATAGTGTGCGATTGCAGAGAGATGAAGCCAGACTTAACAATGGAGTAAAGGAGGCCAACCAGACACCTGCTGAGGGTGAGAATATCTTCTCAATTTATCCTCAAATTGATTTTTGTACACTCCAAAGAATATTGTTCACTATAAGAGGTGACTTCATTTATGGTATACAAAAACAGATTCAGACATTATGGGCCTCTGTTTAAAAGTTGATAAATAAATAATGTAATATAGAATTTTGTAGTGAAATTGTATTGTACTGATTATCTAATATAAAAATTTGACTATATGTAATTGACAACTTACAGAGCCCCGCACATGACATGTGGACAACAATATATATATCGTGGCCATGAATTAACAATCCGTTCCGGACAATTAATACAACGTATTAATTTGTTCTCTCGATTTTAGTAAATCTTTGTGGCTATGTTGTACTAGTTCGTTTCCTTGTTTTAGTAGTTACTTTAGTAACTAACTAACTAAGTTTTAGTTGACAAATTATCAGTGATTTACAGTTTTTACTGTAGCATATTTAGCATTTTCATTCAAATTCAGATTTTTTTTTACAGCATATATACCATCTCTGAGCTTTTGACAGATTTTTCTGTGTGACTGCCACAGATTTAAACATTTGTGTGTGATGGTTTTGATACTGTTCAGTGTTCAGTCCAGTAATACATGAGGTAACAGATTGTATGTGTTGTATTTTTAATGGAGTGGATGTTCTGAAGAGCAAATGGTCAGAACATATTTCTTGCAATCACAGTAAGTTTGTTTGACTGATCCCCATTGAGAACAGCATGTTTACCTCTTCTGGGCTATGGTGTTGGCTTGACATGCATAGAAACTGAATGCTCTCTGCATGCATACTGTATATGGATACTGCATACTGCAAACCTGTATTTGGTCACACATTTAATGCTACATTTGCATTATATGTTGGCAACAAAAACATGTTGGTCTTTAGTTTTTGATTATGAAAGTATCAAAAGCGTCTTTGAGGTCATACAGGAACAAATTATTTGAGAATGTTTGTATAGTATAGTATAGTATAGTATAGTATAGTATAGTATAGTATAGTATAGTATAGAATAACTAGCTGTAGTATTAAAATTAAAATTGATATTGAATGTAATGTGTGGCATTTAGCTTTATTAAAATACATGTGGAAAAATGGTTAAAATGGTTTGGCCAAAAGGTATTTCATAGAAAATTGAAGCTCTTGTAGTGGTCTGAGTAATGGAGCTGCCAAACTTTAAGAAGATTATACAGAGAATTATGTTGTTCTAAGTAGTTAAGCTGCCACGCATGACCAATCTGTACCACATACATAGATGGTACATTTTTTATTAACTTATTATTATTGTGTAGTCAGGCTAGTATTATTGTCATGAGTGCAAAGGTCAATATAAAAGTTTTGAATATTTGGAATAGGAGCAAATACATAAACTGTAAACATGAATATGTGACTAGACTACTAGCTAAGACTTAATACTGCTATCATATTCCTTGGTTGCTTGCTAACTTTAATCCAGTGCATTCCGTCTCATTGCTATACCATTAAAGTGTAATTAATTAACAGATAGTGTACTGGTATGAACAGTAACAGAACTGTTAAATGGAATGCAAATTGAATTCATTTTGAAAATGAATTCACTTTTTTGTGCATGTATGTGTCTTTGCCCCTTCTTTTACTGCTTCATTACTATTTGGTTATTTTCCAGAGCCCTTTTTTCCAGCTGAGAGCTACACACATCACACTACTCTAAACACAGACAACACTGACACCCATGTAGCCACTCAATGCAAACCTGTGCCAAAAAAGAGACTGCTGCTGTATTCCTGCAAGGACTCTTCCCTGGACACTGGCAGCAGTGATAATGGAGTTCGACAGGTCATGACCCCTGCTCCCAGAGGCATCCTGAAGCAAAAGGGGTCCAGTTGTAGCTCTACCGACTCCCTGCGACTCCACATTCCCACCAATAATGGCAGCAGCAGCAGTCAGTCTTCTGCTACGGTCAGCCCCATCAGTCCTGAACCTCCCATCAGCCCTCATCTTTCCCCCTGCTCAGTGCACTCTGCTTCAGGGTGGTTAGATAGGAAACAGGTCCGCTTCACCTCCGTTGTTGGTCCTATAGAGAGAGTACAAGGAGAGCACAGTGTGCTGGAAGAAGATTGGAGTCCTGTATTGGACCAGAATAGAAGTCATATTACAGAAAACGGTAACGTAGTTGTAGCCACATGAAGTACTTAAAGGGATTGTTCACCTAGAAAAAAAATTCTGTCATTTACACACTCTCATGTTGTTCCAAACTGGTATACGACTTTCTTTCTCCTGTGGAAAGTGTTTTTGTCCATTTAATTAAACATTGGACATACATTGTACGAAATTAACCCCACACACAACAAAACAGAGAAATTCATCAAAAATTTGTATTTTGTGTTCCACGGAAGAAAGAAAGTCTGACAGGTTTGCAACAACATGAGGGTGAGGGTAAATGAGTTTTCAATTTTGCCAAAAAAATAACGAGTGTCCCCACATGATGAGCATTGAGCCTACAGAAAGGTTGGGGGAAGGGACAGGTAGATTGGTTGTCTAACCGTACATAGTTATGACTGAGAAAGGCTTAATAGAAAACTTTTTTGGTAAGACACCCTGATTATTTCAATATAATTAAACCCTAAAAATTAATCAGCCAACAAATCTATCAACCTGTGATTCAGTAGTTCACATGCTAACTCATTAATACATCCTCGTACTAACTGCATGTGTGTGCATATCTCATACATACAACACATGGCTTCTGGTGAATGCTTGTGGGTATATGTATGTTGATTAATCTGCAAATGGTGATTAGTAAATAAGCACTGCAAGAAATTATTATTATCTGAGTGTTTACTGGAATTTTAATGTGCAGTATGATCATCTGATGACAGGATTCATGGTCAGACGTAATTTAATATTATTTTTGGAAGTCATTGTTCTATCTCAAAGTATTATTCATTCTCTGTCAATTTTATGCAAATATAAACCTTTCCAACATGTGATTGTCTCCACTGTAGGTCATCATGAGCTTTATGGTGAGCCTCAGTCCTCACAGGTGTCCAACATCCACAGCTCTACTGAAGTCACAGGTAAGGCCATTGAGTTGAGTGCAGAGGGCCAGACTGATAAGGTTACAGTGGAAGAGGGTCGCTCAATTTCCAAAATACTTGAATGGTTTGGGAGAGGCTCTCGAGATGGAAAGCTGAAAGAGTCGCCAGTCAAGAGAGAGTTGAATGAAGAGGAACCAAAAGAAAGCCCAGAAGCCAAGTCAGAAGATTCAGCATCTCCAGTTGACCAGCCAAAGACCAAGCCAGCACCAAAGCCCCGTAGGGGGCTTTTTGCATTGTTTTCGAGAGCAGAGAAAAAAGACAAGATTCCAGAAGTTCAAGCATCTGACAAAGAAGTGATAAGTCGAGCTAAAACAGAAAGTTTAGAACGTGAACCATCTTGCACTTTGAGGCCTGAGACAGAAGATAATATACTTCAGAGCAGGATGGCTGAAATATTAAAAGATAAAAACAAACCAGACAGACTAATATGTGAAGATACTCCTCCAAGAGAGACGTTTGACCAAGGTGAGGTATCACCAGGAAAAATGGCCAACCTGAAGTCATTCTGGGAAAGGGGGGACAGAGGACCTAAAATACTAAGCATTAAAAAAGAACCTGAGGTAGAAGAAAGTGAGACATCTCAGCTTAGTGATAATTATCACAACGCTTTAGACAGAAGGTTGTCAGATTCAAACACCAGCCCATCAAAACCCAAACCCAGTGATCCAAACCCAGTTGATGTAGAATCTACAACAGGTGAGATTTCTTCAGTCTCACCTAGAAGATCCTCCTGTGGTATTGATACATCAGCCATATCGTCATGTGAAGATGGGAACCCTTCTAGTTTGGACAGCAATAAGGTCTCAGAAGGCTCAAGTAGTGAACTACAAACTCTCACCGTGAAAGTTAATGTCAAACTGTCACCAAGTTCACTGCTAAAATATAAAGATTCTCTGGCCAGTGATCTACAGGAAGAGTCAATCTGCAGGGATATATCAGACCTGAAGAAGGAAATCTCCACCTTCAAAATGTCCCTCAGTCAACAGGAAGATAAAGTCTCAATCAATGATCTCAAGTCATTTTGGGAGAAAGAAAAAAGTGGCCTTAAAGTAATTGTAGGCTCACCAACATGTACAGCCAATGTTAAAGACCCGTACACAGAGTCATCTCCAAAATGTTCTTCAGTAGGACTTTCTGAACCTCAGTTCAACATCAGGTCAAACAGCCCAAGTTCCCTGGACAGAAAGAGCTTCAATGAGGTTGGTTTGATTGCACAAAAAGAGAAGATGGAAAAGACTGAAGAAAAACAAAGAAGTCCAATTAGAATGCCATTACAAGACCTTCAAGATATCAGAGGTAGGGTTTCATACGTCACCACGAATATTTCTAATTTTAAACAATCCGTTTCAGACAAACACTCAAAGCCAAGTCCACCATCATCTCCCCTCAGAAGTCTCCCTCCAAAAGGTCAAAATGATAAGCCACAGTCCGCTGACATTTACCAACCAAAAGACCAAGATCAAACCAGAACGACCAGCCCATTACGACAGTCTAAAGTACCTCGTAGAGATTCATATCCAAACAAAGAGTCCAAGAAGGATGGTTCTCCCTTAAGAACCTTTGCGATAGATATCAATCCCGGCGACAGGAGTCCATGTGATGTTAGGGTTAAATCAGGGCAAACTAGGTTATATACCTCTCCTGAACACCAAGGGAAGACTCCAGAAGGACGCAGTGATGATAGACCCATCATTCTTAAAGAACGAAAGCTGTCAGCAGACTCTCTGACCCGGTTTTATATTCCCCTGAGTTTACACCATTACCTTGGCTTACCCGAGCAGACGGTCTTAGATGAAAGAGAACAGGTTAAGGTGCAGGCATGTGGGACTTTTGAACAGGTGAACCAAGGCATAGTGAGCAATGAGAGCTCCCCTTCTCGACACTCCCTGCCTGAATCGGAGGAGATCACCTTTGACTCCTCAGGGAGCTCCACACCTGAAGCCTGGTCAATCTCACACACCAGTTCATACTGTGAGCTCACCTCTCCATTTTGGTTCAGTCTAGTTTCAGTAGAAAAAGTGCTGATTGGTTCTGTGATTTTTGTGGAAGCAGGGTTTATGTCCTTAAAATAAGTGCTCAGTGTGACCTAAGAGACATGTCCTACTTGATACTTTGCTCAAGTAAGATGCTCAACTTTGTAGGCATGATAAAATGATCTATTCATTGTTCTGGACCACATCAACTTCTACAGGTTTATGACTTTTTAAGCCCTGCCTCTACTTTCTTCAATGATCTAATTCAGTAATCAGAACTTATTTTCTTTAAAATAATGAAAATTCCATCAAATTCCTGGTAAGTTTCATTTTATAACATGGTGTGTGAAATATGAATCTTGCAGTTACAGTCAAATGAACAAATGTAGCCATGGCACTGATCATAAATCATATTACAATCATTAGTCTTTGTTCATTTATTAAAATTCATTTTTATACTTCATAATTATTTTATGTTTTATAATTGGTTGTTTTTAGTCAAATTGTTTAAGTAAAATGGTTCAAATTGTTTTAAGTAAATTCTGTATTATTTGAATTATTTAGTTGTTTATGGAATTCTGCTAGTAATTTTTATGTAATGTTAAACAACATAGATTGTACATATAAATTTCAAATCTTCTGAAAATCAGAAAGCTAATGGAACCAGATGGTGTAATTTCTCCGGTTTACCACTTTAAATTAGTGTTTTCAGTACTAATATTTATATATAATGTATCAGTGTTCTGCTTTTGTATGGTTTGCTGATTCCTTCTTGATATGGGCTGTTACAGGGGACAGTGAGGATGACGGCCCTGTCAAAGCTGCTCTGGAACGAGCCAATGCCAGACCCATCTCTATTTCCAAAAGTCTAGAGGACCTGGCATCCACACGTACGTTTCCTTTCTCTTTTCTACAGTATGCTTTATTGACCTTCTTATTCAAAATAAAGTCAAACATGTTTTGATGTTTGGGTTCATGCTGTCTTGGTCCTGTAGGAGTGACAGACTCTTTTGCCCTCTGCTGGACATTTTTTTTATAACTCTCAAAGTCTCTAACCCAATCAAACAATAGTATACACAACATGTTTCTAAACCATTTGTATTACTATATGCTTTATTGCATTTGTGCTATTTATTTATGGATTTTTTTTATTTTTTATTAATACTTTGCCATATAAACCAAGAAGAGAGATGGAAGACTGACCCAAGGAGTGATGTTGGGATGAGTATGGAAAATGGTAAATATGAGTCTTTTTCCTTTTTTTAAAATAAATAAATAATGTATTTTTAAACTTTTTCAATGTTTTTGTTGTCCTCTGCTATGTGAACTGATGTTTCTTGGTTAGGGGGCAGCATCATAGATGCATTTTACGCTTGCGTTATTACATTAAGAGCAGGAAGTAAGCCCATGACATTAAATTATAGCATTAAGGACATTAAACATCCTTTTCATAATTGACCCTTGGTCTTTCATGTATAGTTCACTGTCTGAATTGGCTAAGGGAATGCATTAACTGACACATGACAATTTGATGAGCTTTTGGAGTAATGCCAATGATTAAAGGTGGTTTGCATCCCATACAACCTGAATCATGTATCTAATGGTGAGGTAGATGGAGTAACTAAATGCATTCTTTATATAAAATATCAAATGTGCTCTCCAAAATGAACAATTCTAGATGCAAACTCTTCAGAATTCATTATTTCCACTAAAACTCAAGATTTATTTAATCTGTATCTGGATGGATCCAGAATATGTGTCCATTAAGTGCCTCTTTTTCATTGGTCTAAGTGTCTGCAGTCACTCCCAACACCAAAACGTCCTTCTCCGACCCAGAACAGGTGAAGATGATGAGTATGTCTGTACCTGCATTCATGCAACAAGAGGTAACATACGAAGCAAAACTCACGAGCCTACAACTAACAGCTTCTACACTGGATTATTTCTAAAATATCATAGTTTATATTTTACCTTTATCACTATAGCTAAACACCAACATTCACTGCCTTTTATTAACCTGCATAAATGCCGACCATCTCCTGTCGAATAGATGGATTGCGGAAACAGTGACTGTGCATCAGTGAGCAGTTTCCACTATGACAGATTGAGAACATGCAACACTCCTTCTAATTTTAGCACTTGCTCTGAGGCGGCCTCCATGTCCTCTGTATGTGACCCCAGTCTTTAACGCAACCAATAATGCTAAATAGAACTAATATCACTCTGATATAATACAAATGAACATATTCATCTATTTATTTCACACTAAGATAACATGCTATTATGAATACATTTCTATACAGATCTGTGTCTTTGTGTGGGGTATGTATAGGTCACTGGCAGTGTAATGAGCATCTACAGTAGTGATTTTGGGAATGTGGAGGTGAAAGGTATAATCCAGTTCGCCATTCACTATGTACAAAAACTGGGAGAGTTCCACATCTTTGTTGTCCAGTGCAAGGACCTCGCCGTAGCTGATGTTAAGAGGAACCGATCTGATCCGTAAGTGGGGTTGAGGGAAAAAAACACCAAATAATATTTCTTACCAGGAGAATATGCTATAAAAATGGATTAACAATAATACATGTACTTTGTTTGATTTAACTGAACTTTAGGTATGTTAAATGTTACTTGTTACCTGACAAAGCAAAATATGGAAAGAAAAAAACATGCGTGAGGAAGAAGACTCTGGACCCCGCTTACAATGAAATCCTACGGGTATGACAATTCTAAACTTCTTGAGATATGTTTATAAATTTGATAATCATAGTTGTCATTTCTATGCAGTTTAAGATTTCAATGGAGACGCTGAAAACCCAAAAGCTGAACATCTCTGTGTGGCACAATGACACGTTTGGGCGTAACAGCTTTCTTGGAGAGGTTGAGGTTGATCTGGCCGAATGGGATTTCAATAACACGCAAATGAATGAATATCTACTCAAAGGAAGGGTAAGATAACAATAGTCGTGTCTATTGGGTCAGGATAACCTGTTTAGATAGCTCTTTAAACTTATTTGTTACTTAAGAGTATGAGGTCACGTTTTGTTGCACTGCATCTGCCACTGTCTTTCTTTATCGACTCAGGTTCAGGTTCCTACCAGCCCAAAACATTCTGTCGGTGGCGAGGAAATGAGTGCAGAGATTAAAGTAGCTCTCCGTTTTCTCCCGCAGACTTCTCACAGTAAGTTATTGATGCTGACATTTACATATGATGATGACTCTTTTTATTTGGCTAAATATTTTTAGAAGCATCTGCCTTTCTGATAACATGTTTATTATGTAGGTCACAAGAACAAGGGGAACGGTGAGGTGCAAATATGGGTGAAAGAATGCAAGAATCTGCCTATTTCCAGGGGTGTTGCCATTGACCCATTTGTCAAATGGTATCAAAAGCTATTTTATTGGATACATTTGTATTTGTGTTGGAGTGTTAGATGTGGAATGCCCATGTGTGTGAATTCTGCCTTTTCAGTGCAGTCCTCCCAGATGCCAGCCGAAAAAACCGTCAGAAGACCAGAGTATTGAAGAGGTCTTCTAACCCAGTGTTTAACCACACCATGGTGTATGATGGCTTCATACAAGAGGACCTCAAGGAGGCCTGTGTGGAGCTTACAGTGTGGGATCATGACAGACTCAACAACCACTTCATTGGTGGTATTAGACTGGGTAATGGAACAGGTAATTAAAGGGGCAATTACATCATTAAAGGAATAGTTCTGCCAAAAATGAAAATTAGCCCATGATTTATTCACCCTCAAGCCATCCTAGGTGTATATGACATTCTTCTTTTAGATGAATACAATCGGAGTAATATTAAAAAATATCCTGCACTTCCAAGCTTTATAATGGCAGTGACCGGCCATTAAAGTGCATCCATCCATCATAAAAGTGCTTTAAAACTTTATCGACTAAAATAACTAGCTTCCGGCAGACGGCCGTATGCATCGATTTATGGCGAAAGAGTAACCCTTGACCTTGACGCACGACGTATTGACGAACGCGGAAGCGCAGATAAATAGAGCAAAACAAAACACCAGTCACAAATTAGAAGTCTAAAACGACAATTTTTAAAGATAAGGATAAGGAGCTTGATAAAGAGATAATGAGCTTGAGTTTGTTGCCCAGCCCTGTTTGTTTGAACCACGAGAGTTGTCAAAGCTTACACTATAAGCTAGTTATTTTAGTCGATAAAGTTTTAAATATGGATGTTTTTCTTACACGAACGCATCACTTCACTTCAGAAGGCCTTTATTAAACCCCCAGAGCTGTGTGGATTACTTTTATCATGGATGGATGAACTTTGATGGACTTAAAAATAAATATACAGCCGATCACTGCCATTATAAAGCTTGGAAGAGCCAGGATTTCTTTTTTTTTTTTTTTTTAGAAGAATGTCATATACACCTAGGATGACTTGATGTTGAGGGTGAGTAAATCATGGGCTAATTTTCATTTTTGTGGTGAACTATCCCTTTAAGAAAATGAAACTGAAAAATGTCATGACAATTTTATCTTATTGCAGGTAAAAGTTATGGCACTGAAGTGAACTGGATGGACTCTAACGCTGCTGAAGCAGCCCTGTGGGAAAGAATGATGCAATCTCAGAACGAATGGGTGGAAGATACGTTACCTCTGAGAATGATGGTCATGGCAAGAATGTCTAGATAGTAAGAAAATGAGGCATGGTGACACTTTTGAACAAATACTTAAAAAATTAGTATGAACATGAAGAAAACAGTATGTAGGAAAACACTATGTAATGTTAAATATATATAAACTAACTTGGTGGTGCTTGCCATTTTTGATGAGGAAAACAAAGAGAATGAAAATTATAATATTCCTATTATTGTAAAGTATGTAGGTTTGATGTATTTACAACTAAATAAAATCTGTCAATATGCTGCACATAAGTTAAACAATACATAGTTTGTGAATTACCTTGAAAGACTATCCTAAGACATTGTCATTTTAATAAACTTTAAATTGTCCAACTGCCATCACTTTTATTTGTAAAATGATGAATAACTAGTTGCCTAATAAATACGAAGTACATTTTTTTTGTGTGTGGAAACAACTATAGTCAGTATTAGCCACCAGGTAACTGCCAAAGTAACTTGACAGCAACCTGTTCTGAAAAACAACAACAACAACAACAACAACTACAACAACATCAACAACAACAACAACAACAACCCACCCTTCGTTGCTCCTCCTCCATGACCCATGTTTCCGGAAGTGTCGCGATATCTTTGGATTCGCCATTTTAGTTCCTCTCAGTGTCGTTGTAAGTGCGTTGCTTCCACTTGGCTTTGCTACGTCTGAGCTTAAATACATTTTTTATCCTGTAAAATCAGCCTTCTCGGATTCTTTTTTCCAAACAATCATCGTCACAAGACATCAGCATACAATTTAAGGTAAGTTGCTTCGGTTATAAACGATAATATGTGTAGTTTTCTTTGCTTGAGGAAACTGCTTTGTCACGCGGACTTAGGCGCGCTGCTGCGGCCTGCTAGCCAAAACCACTAACTTACGGACATTGTAATCAATATTAATAGGTTGTTCATGTGTCAATTATTATATCAAACCTGGGAGGATGCAATGACTTACACGTACTTCATAAAATACCAAAATCTCGATGTTTTGTTAGATATTGTATGTTAACAGCGAAAACAACAGAAATAGGCTATCTGTTCTGTACGTAACTTATTTTTTTTATTACTCTTTGTTTTATGCGATAATTTAAGCTCTAAAGCGTTAACGAATGTTAATTAAATTGTATTTTACTAATCCTCGTGTTTCTTTGGTCTAATATAGAAAGACATATGTGGTGAATTGACTGCCCCTATTTTCATTAACTTTATCGCCTTTGTTCCTAACATTGAAAGTAAATGCCAAATGATGCCGTCATTCTGCTTAATATAATTTAGTTTTTGTGTGTTCCAAGTAGAAGTCCTACGTGTCTCGTATTCGTTTTTTAAAAAGATTATATTAAAATGAGTTTGAGTGCAAGTGAACTGTTGTAATTTTCTGCTAATTTCATTTTTTTTATATAGTGTTTTCGCAATTCATATCCCGAAACGGAGCCATGATCACCAGAAAAAGAGGAAGAAGCAGCCTTAACGCTGATATCACATCAAGTACCTCCAATGAGAGTGATGGTGCTTCGAAAACCAGTAATACAAGTGAAACAAACACACACACTTCTCCAGAAAGTGACACCAATGAATGGGGCCTGGATGATCTGCTTGGCTCAGAGTTCAACTGGGACCTGGACAACAATGTGCTGGATGTTTTCGGCAACTTTGAATCACAGACCAACGATGAGATGAACCAAAGTGCAGTGTTTGACGTTCCCGTATCCCGCAACAGAGGTTTGGTCCAGAGGTCAAAACTGCAAGACGTCTCTGGACGGATCATCAACAAGAACGCCGTCGCAGCAAGGATAAACCGATTAAAGAAGAAAGAATACGTCACTGGCTTGGAGCAGAGAGTGGGCTCTTTGACAACAGAGAACCGTGTTCTCAAGCAGGAAAATGGGAATCTCAACAAGAGAGTGGAAGAGTTGGAGAATGAAACTAGGTACTTGAGAGCCGTGTTGGCCAATGAGAGCATGCTGGCTCAGCTGTTGTCTAGATTGAGCGGTGTGAACGGCATGAAATTTTCTACCTCGCTTTTCCAGGAATCCAACGAGAATGACCACGATTATGCCATGCCGAGGAAGAGGGTGAAGGTGGAAGACAAAGATACTGCAGGTGGTGTCTGCCTGCATGTGGACAAAGACCACGTCTCGGTGGAATTCTGCACCAAGTGTGCTGAGAGTTCAAGCTTGTCGCATAAAATGTAGGGTCAAGTATTTTACCTTTTCAACGTTTCCCGAGACTGAACTTTGCACAAGGTGTAAATGTGGGGACATGACAACAGTAGTCAAATATAGAGTTAACTGTTAAAAATGTGTGCAGAGCTTGAATGGCATGTCTATTGAACCTGCTTTCAATACAAGTTACTGCTAAACTTGTTGACAGTTTTCTTCTAGGTGCTTGGTCCGCCATGCTGGACGACTGGGTCACAGAACATCCATGACTGCTGAAATCCATGGTAAGGATCAAGATATAGAAGACTGCACAGAACTGGTTAACTCCTAAGATGAAGACAGTGCTTTTTGCCAGTTCACGGCACAATATGAACTGTTAATAAACTTAAGTTTTGTTTTTCTTTTACATTTGGTATACGTTTAAAGCATTGAAGATAATGTACACAAGGAAATTATACATTGTGTTTTGAGTTACGTAATTGTAGTATGTAATTTCAGTTAAAATAGACTTTGAGGGAATTAAGTGGACACAAATATTGTTTAAAAAAAAAAGTAAATGGGTGATGTTTCACAAAGGGCTTCCGCTTGTATTAATCTGGTAATAATGTACCTGTTGATACATTGATGTTGATTCAACACAAGTTTGTACTGCAAGCTTGTATTTTGCTGAAAACAGATGAGCCCTTTCTGAAATATCGCTATATTTCTAAAGAATGTTTTTCATGTAGAACCCTTATTTTTTTTTATGCTAAAGTGGATTTTGCTGTGGGGAAAGCTGAAGAGTCGGGACCAGCAGCTTGCATCATGGCCTGGTAAATTTAAAAAAGGTAGTACATAAAACCGTGTAAGTTACAGCTTTTACTGACTCTTATCACACCCCTAAAGATGTCAGACGCTGTCATTCTCATTTAGCATCTAAATGAGTGTTTAAACTCTTCTGTTTGTGGTAACGTTTGCTTACAAGACATTGAACATATGTCATCCATGTGTTGCATCTTGATTTGTTAAAGCACTTGGACTTTATTTGACAGTTGTCCAGAGGAAGTGAAATGGTATGTTTTAAAATGGGATTTTCGAAGGGTTTTGATTTCTGAATAAGTCATCTATTTGTGAGATGTAATTGAAATCCAAAGACTGTGCAGACACATGGCTGCAGCTGTGCTGAGAAAAAAAAAATGTAATAAATTTTCTTTTGAGTAATGCAAAATGCTTGGTGTCCTATTAAGATATTAACTACACTCTCCTTCTCTTTTTAGACAGCACTTTCTTCGCTCTCTACAAGAGCCTTTCACCTCTCTTCAAGGTGGATAAAGAGTGGTGGTGGTTTCTCCCCATAAGGTGTAAACTGCAAAATTCCTTAAGGGCTCTGATAATTCAGTGACATCGAATTAACGGCTGGGGCTCTGTAGTGTTGCGGATCAACTTAAGCAGTTCTGAAATGTATAACTCTGAAGTTCGTGTTTCTTATCCCTGGTACCTAATACCACTGTCAGTGTGAAAAGAACAAACATCTTGAAGTGACAAATAACCATCTTGTCACTTAGGTGTTAGAGGGTTGTTTCTAATAAGCGAGATCCAAACAAGACACACTTCCAGTCCAGCACTGCTTTTATCAACTTTATTTATCACAAAGCTCATAGATGTCATTTTAAACTCTCAGTTCCAATGCACAAATGCATAGTAATCCCATAAGCTTGTTTCTACCTGCACATGTCCTGACACGTTCAAAAATAGTTACACCTGACTTCTCTTACTCTCTGGCTACCTAATAGCCCCACACTCCCCCCCAGTGTCAAACAATGGAATTACAACAAAAATTCAAAACATAATGGCTCTTGCACAATAAATCTGTGCCAAGTTAACACTGTCGGTTTTAGAGATGGAAGTACCATTTTTTTTCTCTCTCCTGTGGTAACAGTTTGTATAAAAAGACTTGAGAATTGAATGTTTCTGAAAAAATGTTTCCATAAAGTAGATTTTAACTTGGTCATGATATCTCTAATATTGTTGCAATTCTTTTCTCTTGACCCATCCAGTGATATACTATAGATGTAGTTCTTCTGAAACATTGTGACTAAATTGAGTTTTGACTGATTTAGAAGCTAATGTAGACCTTTCCTCCACAATTTTCTTTCGGTTTGCATTTCAGAACTCTTAGGTTGATCGTTGCGGTAGGGGATTGGAAATTAGCACACATTGAAAGGTCTCTTTGTGGCAGTAAATGTGTGTTGTACGTAAGATGCATAAGCTTGTTTCTCAGTGTGCATTGTTTTTATTATTATTTCCCAACATAACCTGGTTATTGATCAGAATGCTTTAAATTTGATCTCTTGTAAGTTGTACATTGGCAAAAGGCATTTGTTTACACCACTTTTTATCCACTTTATATATATATATTTTTTATATTTTACACAAACACAAATGGTTTAGTTAAGCTTTAGGTAATGTTTTGTGGTACAATTACATCCAGGCAATTAGATTCAAAGAAATTATATAAAATCTCCAATAAATATAAATACCTTAACTAGTGATTTAGGTTATTTGTGGAAATGATACAAAGGTATACTGGACAGAATCTATTGATCGGTTAGGTTTATTTTTGTTGGAAAAGGCATCAAAAGCAAGAACAAATCATTGTACTGGATGAATGAGCATGTTTCATTTTTAACAAAGATTTATAATGTAAAATATTAACATTAACTGCTAACCATGAAGCTCTTCACTGTCAGAATCTGGTATTTTCAACATTTTTAGGTAGATATCAAAGTGCTTTGAGCTCAAGTAGGTTCCAAACAAACCCTGCAGCAGCAGAACAACATACATCTTCTGTACAATGGGTTTGCTAAGGTTCATCCAGAAGCGGATCATGTTGCCCTTCTCTGGCATTGGTGCACTGTTATACCTGCAAGACAATTGGAGATCAGTTACATAACTTGCTGTATTCTATTTCTAAGAAAATAAATATGCAATAACAATGAGAACTAACCTGGCTGCAAGACCAGCATTAACAGGCAAGGCCAACAAAATAGGATATATGCCACCACCAATCACACCCACCAAAGCCCCTCTTATCAGGGTACAGGTTGGGCAGTTCAGGTCACCTACAATTACAAAATAGTCACTCAATGCAAAGCAATCAGAAGAACACAAAGCTTTCACGTCACTGGTGTAGGGTCGTCACCAAAGGTAAGTAACAAGTAGTAAATGCCAAATAAAGCAAATGAAAAGTACTTCAGCCTATAACAAAAAAACAAACTGGCAACATTATTGATGTCGAGCAGAAACAATCTCCAATCTGGTTAAAATCTTACTAATCTAGGGGTCAAAGTTAAAAATACCTGACATTAGGGGGTTTGTGACGGTCGCAGTGTACAGTGCTGCAGTTGTCAGAAAGGGAAGAACAGCCATGGGAAGGCTGGAAGTAAATCGTCCTTGGGTGACATTGAGTGCACGTCTGTAAAAGCTGTTAGCTATCAAACCAGAAAATCCAGCGTTGCCAGCCAAATATATGGGGCCATACGAAAACAGTTTCCTGTTGGGGTTAAAACAGTAATGTTTCATTAACTAACTGCAGTGTTAAAGTAAGTTGTGACATTGTATATAAAACTTACCTGTCGATATCAGGGAGCCTTTCAAACTTCTTATTCAGCATTTCAATAAACAATGTCCTGGATGCTGTCTGGCCTTGGCCTATGTCTTTCACAAGCATAGCGTTGTCTGCCATGTTGATCTAAAGACTAGAGATATAGCCTATATTAATATCAACAAATGGACTCCCAGCAGACAGATAACCTTCTAACTACATATCTAAAATGTTGATATTTCACTGTTGTGTGCTGAAGGCTGTCACCACGATTCATCAACGTTTCAGCTGACATCATGATTCTGTTTATAAATCGATTTATTACTAGTGAAATATTTGTTTATATTGGTAACTATGTTAACATTAAACTAAATATAGATACTTTATATTCGTCAGTTTGCGATTTGAACATTCACTAAATTCATATTAATCTGACCTTTACATAATTTTAGACACATTTCAGACACGTGTTTGTAAGCTGAACTTCCTGGTATGGCGTTTTAAAAATGCAGCGTTTACGGCAAGAGACGCGTCAACCACGGTCAAACCAGTAGTAACTCATTCAACCTAATGACAGCTGCTTTGTTGATGTGTAGCTGAAGAATGTCAAACCCAGTCGTATCACTGTCTGTTCATTTACAACGTCGTTTGCACATGGTCAACACCGCATTGTAGGATTAACTTACCCACGAATGAGCTTTTAAATAATCGCTAAACTGTTTCCATCCCCTGTTCAACAGTCACGGTCCTCAGTGCCAGCAGGGCGCGGCCATGTCTAACCACATGTTTGTTTCAGTCAACTCTGACCCCGAGATCCAGGAACAATACGACTATTCCTATTGGTCCGTTCGTGCGCCAACTGAAAGAATGGACGAACGCCATTGGAGGACGCGCCCTGTCAATCCCTGCGGGTCAACCCTCTCGTTGCTAAGGCGAAGCTGGTGATGATGTTGCTGCTGCTGCTGGTGATACTGCACCCACCATAGAGAGAGTCTGCAAAACAGCTTTGGCAAAAGATGCCGTGAAGATCCACAGAAAAAATAACAGGAAAGGAAGTGAAGTTGTTCTTAACTGCATATCGGGACGTTTGACGAGGAGCTTTTCGGATATATTTGCTCAGATTGGCTTAATTACCGAGGCATTTGTGGAGCCATGCGTTATCGGAAAGCTGGATGAAACTTGCAGGTGTTTTCCGACAGGCGTCGCACTGACAGGCTGCTGTTTCATTGGGGAAATATCCTGTGTTTTTTAGTTAAATCTTTTTTCTGTCTCTACCTTTAGATCAGAATTTGATACACCAGTTTGCCTGTAGCTATGCTATAGTGATTGTTTTGCTTGGGTCTTGAAGCTGAATTAAGAGACGTGAAACTGGATTGCGCTGATCAAGCAGCAAGATAATAATACATTTTCAATTATTTTCTGGTCAGATTATCACATAAGACATGAAGTTCAACACATGAACTTCATTCTATCACGATGTAGGCATATATAACAAGTTGTTCTTGAAGAACTGTTTACAAGCATGCATCAATAAACTTACACAGGCATATGAGATGCAGAGACGTGAAGTCATGCTTATTTGTTCGTCAAACTGTTGCTAGATCTCCATATTTGTAGTTTTAGGATTTAAAATAATGCTTGATCAGCATATAGCCAACTGACTGAGTCAAAGTCAAGCCATATGTGCTGGGGAGCCTTTCTAGTTTGATGTCTATGGCCCTTTGGGACAAAAACTAGCGGTTAGATTTAGTTTAGGTATTCACTGCGCTTTTAATATTCGTCAGGACTGTATGGGTTAAATCAATGGGTTGTTTTATGGACAGCGTGATTGAATTATGTTTATGTAGGCTAGTAAAACACCAAAGGCATTTAAGGAGTCGATGGTTGTGCGAATGTTCCTGGGGAATAATTCTCAATAGCCTACCGAGAACACATTCAGACACTGGAGAGCAGTTTTGACATTTCTCATGGACTCATGCACGCCAAGGTGCACCGATCACTATCCACTCTTACTATCGGATTATGGATTTATTTCTTATGAGCGAGTCATGCGCTCAGCATATGCTGTTTTCTTCTGCAAGATGTTTCAGCGCGTGCCCCTCTCTTTAACTTGACAATTCTATGAGCTTTTCTATCTACATTAACGAACTGAGCCGGAACTTGCTGCTTTAGCAAGTGACAGTTTCTCCAAGACACTGACAGCAGATGAGGGAGAAACGTTTGTGTTGCTGTTTCCATGCGTGACAATCCCACAAGGACATAAAGGAGTAATTATGCCCTTAAGAAAACGAGGTGAGAAATAAACACTAGGCTACGTACTAACTGTGAAACATGTTTACTGTAGTTGACATGTAATGTGTGGACTTTTTATTTTATTTTTTAAATCGTCAACATTATCCTAGGTTAAAATGTAAATTAATGGGTAAGATGAATTTTATATTCTTGTTACTGGTGACCAGGAATATGCAATTTCTCTTATTCATTTCTTTTTTCACCATTTTAATCACATCGAGTGAAGACAAAATTATTTTAAATGGTCACGCATTGTTACAAATAAAATGTTAAAAGTAGGCTACAAATAGGCTATTCCATGTCTCTCAATAAGAGGTCATACAAGCTCCATAATAATTGTTCGAATTTGCAAAATGTTGAAATATAGCATGACACGCATGTGAAGTTTGCACAAGTATTTCACGCCAGCTCGGGTAATGCAAAATGTCAGAACTTGATTAGGTGAAAGTTTTAGTTGCTGATGCAGACAAAGATGATCATGCTATCATGACTGTTGTGGCCGTGTCTTTGAATATCCTTATTTTATTTAGACTTCTTTACCTCCTAAGCCTTAAATATGCAGTGGGGACTTCAAACTGTGTAATTATATATGTAGGTCTCCTAATAGTGTAATTATACTCTGCAGTAAGTTTGTAGTCTGTAAAAATAGACACAAGTATGGCCAACTCGCCCATGACCTCGGATGCTCTTAGATGCTGGTTTGCATTTATATTTCAGACTGGTATGCAGCTGTTTTTAGTTACTCTTTGCATGCCTACAATACAAGTCTTTTTATGGATACTATAAATTTAGTATATATATTTTTTTAACTGTATAGAGAATTCTGTATGAGAATTCTCAACTATATGTAGAATTCAGAAACCCTTGTTATTAGCGATACTGGTGGTCGTTAAGTGAATTGCAGCCAGCAACTTATTGCTCGTGCTCGTGCTCGCACTCGGGGAGTCTCGTGCACGCGACACGTAACGTTAACGTACAAGAGTGAACGTGATTCAAGGCCCCACGCGGCGAAGTTCTCTTTCGTTCTTTGCTTTGAAGCAAAAAATTATTTGGAAACGTTTGCACTTTGCAGCGATATACATTTAACGAATATCCTGACGCCATCTCATCACCACCTTCAATAACAAAACAAACACACAGAAAAAGCAGCAAGAAAGCGTCTAATCATAGCGATGTGGATATGTTTGCACCAGCTCTGCAGTTCACCGGCATCATGTCGACAGATGAGGTAATTCAATTTACAGTGTTATGATAGTTTATCTGAGAACGTATATCTGAGAGATTAAGTATAGCCTATAGTTTTAATTATTTTTCTTTGCATGAGACGTTGACATTGCAGTAGCTATAATGGCTCTTTCGGCAGGGCCGTCGCTAGGGGTTATAGGCCCCTGTTGTTTAAGTAATTCTAATATTTATATTAGTTGTATGCCTGAGATTTAATTAAACCACAAAAACATGCAATTTGGTTAAATATTTTTTCCAAATATCTGCTTCTCTTAATTCCCTAAAAATAATTAGGGATCTAACGATCTAAACTATTTATTAATTATTCAGTCAGTGACAAACATCAAATGGACCCAATACAATTGTAAGTCCCACCCCAGCTCGTGAACAGAACCAATCAGAGTTGAGGCGGCAGCTGCCTGAAGTTAACGATGAACTTGGTGGAAGAGCAGGAGACTGACTGACTGAAAAATGTCGGGGAAAAAAGAAAACATAAATCAGGGTAACAGAAACGCCATGAAAATAAGGAGAGGGAGGCCAGGAGAGTTGTTGTACCCCAGTCGACCAAGACGTTCTTAAAGACAGGCTGTAGCCTACTGTTATTTCGCTGGGTATATGAACACTAGCGTCTACAGCCTGCCTGCCTGCCTGGTACTGTCACTTTTCATTATCTGTGTGCACCACAATCGACCGAATGATTACGTGTTCAAAATCCCTGTCTTTTTACACTATTGTAAATGGAGTTAACAAATTGACACGAGTGACGACGCATTGGATAATGTACATGACCTGCCGGCTGATGATGTATTTTATTACATCAAGAAAACACGAATAGGCTACATACAACACACTGCACTTGGATGAATAAATTGATTAGTTTTATTTAATAATATATTACCAGTTCCATATTATCTTTATTAAAAAATAAGACTATTATATTTTATTTTTTAAATTTGACTACATTCTTGTCAATTTCTAAAGGTTTGCATTTTGATTTATGAATTATAACAGACTGATGGGGAAAAACCCCATTATTTTGCTGTTACTTTTTTAAAATTGGTTTTATTATTATGTAACAATTTCTTGCTTTTTGTTAGTTTTTATTAGTTGTAATTTATATATAAACATTTAACTTTTAAAATAAAGGTTTTACAACAACATCAACATCTTCTGTTATATGTGGGCCTCCATGCTCCTCTTGTTCAGTATATGATATTGGTGAAGGGTGGTGGGGGCCCACATCAATATTTTTTTTCAGGGGCCCCCGAATCCTCTAGCTACGGCCCTGATTGTAAGCATAATTTAATGTGTTATTGAACGGAATTGAGGCTCTCGGGAGCGCGGTTAAACGTCATAGCATATTCCTTTGATTTTCCCGGTAAAAACGTCCTGAGTCCTTCACATAAAAAAACAGTCTACAGGCTTTCATAGACAACCTAGGAAGTTGGGGAAGCTTTTATTTTTAAAGTTTAGTTACAAGCTGTTCAGACATTGGCAATAAAATAAGTGATTAAAACATATAGCCCCTTTAGTCCCCTACTACTAGTAGCTTATCATTATCAAGAAAGAACAACTAAAGGGTTTTTCATACAAACCTAAATGATGAATCCAAATTCATAGGGTTTTATGCAGTGTTAATTAACATTGAAAAGTTGAGACACTATTTTATGTTACTGGTTGACTGATGCTACTTCATACTGTAGCTAAATAATTCTATTCTGTAGCTTAAAGGTACAATATGTAAGAATTTTGTAATAAAATATCCAAAAAATCACTTGCACAGTGTGATTTCCTGCAGTTGTGTACTTACAATATCCCAAAAGTCTCCAAAGATTTTTTATTTCAGAGAAATTCCAATTTTAAATAAGTGGCCGTCCCGGAAAAAAATGTCGCCTGTCAATGACGCAATATCCGCGCTATCCTCGGTTTCCGTTCATACTGCCATAGCCATGACGTAACCATGGTGACAGACGTGGACAACTGCGTAGTGCGTAACGTTTAGCGGCACGCAGTTCTTGTTTCTTTCAAACATAGACCATGGCAAACAGACTTTGGGACAAACCAGGAGAACTAAAATGAGGATCAATATCAGCGTGGTGTTTTGAGATGCCGTGGCGTGAGCTCCATGTCCGCGACTAACTTGGACTTGACAGAGCTTCACGAGTCACGACTTGACAGCTTTATTAGACAGGTGAGCAAATGTACATAAAACAAATCAATGTTATATAACGTTAGCTCAACATGATGAAATGTTAGAATATGGTCAGTATGTTATTCTAATGTGGATCTAGCTTACTGCTAGTTTCGTATAGCAAACGAACTAACACGTAGTATAACATTATAACTTTCAACACACATTTAAATGCCGTTTAGTGTGATAGTGTAACGTTAGACCAAGTGAAGCAGCACTGCGTTACCTCACAAGTTTAATTCGTCTAATAAACTGACCTGTGTGAGTAATCCAGCACTTGCGGGTAGTTCGGTAGAATTAAATGTCTTTATTCCTTTATATTTATTTCGATCGTGACCTGCTTCATACCACTGTAATGTTAAAAAAAACATGAATGTTTGTACTCATCCATAAACATTATTAGATCCATCAGCTTCACAGCAACTCCCATCATTCAGTTCATCACTGCGTCATAAACCTACGCCTTTGTTATTGTTGGAAACTGCGCCCTCTTGTGGCGAAAAAAACCTACATATTGTGCCTTTAACTAATGCTTTGCATTTTGAGGTGAGCAGTCACATAATGAAAGTTAAAGTTTTATGTTGCTCTTTCAGATTTTCTAAATCGTGTTGCTTCTGAAGGCTCTGTCTCCAGGTGGTACTCATTGTAGAGTCAAATAATGTCCAGCTCCACCTCTCTGGACGTCTAATGGGGTGGAGGGATAGAGTTATGGGTAGGGTTAGGGTGTGGTTGGATATTCCAGCTCCACCCATTAGGCCCAAATTACATTCGCTCCTCCTTGCTGGACATCTAGCGAGGAGAGAAACAGCCTCCACCCTGTCCCTAGTAGGGCTGTACGATTAATCGCAATTTACATGAAATCGCACTTAAACCGATTTGGCTTATCACGATTATGAAATCGCAAAGGCAGCGATTATTTTTTATGCGCAGCTGGTCTTTGATGTACGGCTCTGTAAACGCTGCTCCTAGGCATGTGCCGGTATCAAATTTTCATGCTGCGATTAATTGATTGAGCTTTTATCACGGTATACGGTATTATCACGATATTTTTATTGCACAAGAGAAACAGATGGATTGGGGGTATCTAAAAAAAACTTGCATCACAATGTGTAATTGTGATTGTCAAAACATTAATTTTATTTTTTAGTGACAACATGGTACAATGTTTACATGGTACAGTTACTGAGGCTACTGTTTGTATTATTGCTTAACACAATTTTCACGATTTCAATTAAATTCTTGGATTTAATTTCAATCTTGATTCAATATTGACTCATTTGGATAAATATTAGGTAGGCTACAGTAGATAGCCTGCATTTAAATTTTTCTCAAGAAAAAATATCTCACTGTAAACATACAGAGAGAAATTAAATATAATGCATACAATATAAATATAATAATAATATAAATATAAAAATGTAATATGCCGTAATTTTCATTATAATAACAATTATATAATGACAAGTAAACATATAATAAAATATGTAATATAGTGCACATATTTAGCAAAATACTCCTCTCTATAGCTATTTTCTTATAGTCAACTAACATTAAATGGCTTTCCTGAGGTAAATGTAACGTTCTGTGACATAATTGTTCTCCTGCAGTGTTATTGACCTCTTTCCGTGGTTGAAAAACACTGATTGATCGAAAGTACGTACCTTTCGGTGGGTTGTACTGTATCTTTAATAAAAAGTAACAGATGATCTGTTTACTTGAACTGAGGCGCGCGATCTGTCACGTCACATTTACAAGCAGCAAAACAGTATTTATTGTCTGAATTTCGTCAAAAAATGGACAGAACCTGAGAGCTGATGTTTTTTTCATATCAAAAGTAACCTGCTCTGTCTAGTCTGTCGGTGTCAGTGTCCTCTTTGCTCCGCGATTTTTCTCTGCGTGAGAAAATGGATGTGTGGCGCGAGACCGTGTGAAAGTGTCAATTGCGTGAGTGTCTCTCAAGCTGAATGCGTGAGAGTTGGCAGCCATGCGGGGGATAAATAGTCGGCAGCGTTCCTCCTTCCGCCGTGCTTCTTCTCCACGTGAGGATTGTTTACATTAGACTAGAGTGCGCACTGCATGCACACAGTGCTTATACATGTGATGTGGGGATTGTTTACATCAAAGTGCGCACGTGTTTTGCGCAGCATACGCATTGTTTTTTAAGCGGTTGATGGAAAATAAGCTGATGCGCGTTCTAAAAATCTAAATTCGGATCTATTATTTTTCACGGTATTTCGAAGTCCCCGCGATAACAATATCGTGCATATTCATTACCGCGATTTATCGCATTACCGAATACCGGCACATGTCTAGCTGCTCCATCTGAAAGCCCTGTGAGTTTGAGTCACTTATAACGTGCATTTGAAAAGCAACACATGTCAAACATCTTTCCAAACATGAGAAGCATTTATGAACCTCTTGTCCAACAAAAAGCAACATTTAATAATATGCTTTTACTCCAAACTCACTTCATAACAACAGTTGAGGATCCTTCTGTGAGATGATGTGGCTTCTTACACAGAATAAGGCAGTTGTGTGTTTATTAGTCACTGTTAATCAATTAAAGCGTTTCAATCTTCTGTTTATTCAGCTACAGTGATAGTATGATGCCCGATGGGGATTTTCTGGAATGATGTGTGTTATCGTACTTCTGCGGCGGGGCATATTTGGCGTGTCTGCTTGAGAGCACCCTCTGGCTTTCAGACTGAGCAGCATTTACTACAGATCAGCCGTGCTGCATTGACAAGCTGCACATAAAATAATCACATCCTTAGCCAAATCGCGTGCGGTTTCATTGCGATTAATCGTGTAGCCCTAGTCCCTAGTGTCTGTTTGTCTGTGTGATTAAGTGACTGAGTCATGCTCAGTCACGCTGATGATCTGTGGCAGTAGTAAAGAGTGTATATCAGGGTTATCAACGCTAATCTGCTCAAAACCCATTTTACTTTGTAAATTGACATACTGAGAGATACATGTGTTGATCAGTCATAATTTGACTAGGAATGTGCATTAAGTATAGAGGGTCAGTTTTGATTTCATGCAATTCCTTTTATGTGTGATGGATAAGAAATGTGTGTAAAAAAAAAAAGAATCAGGCAAGAAGCATAACATTTTATTTTATTCTGTCTTGCAGACACAGCCAGGGCTATAAGCCTCATGGAGGACTACTGCTCCAAACTGAAGAAACCAGAGGAACAACAGCTCAAAACTGCCATCTTAAGAGTCACAGGCATTTTCAAAAGCAGTCTTTTCCAGGCTCTCATAGGTAAGCTTATATTTTCAGAACTTTTTTTGTGCAATTTTTTTCTTTTATAGCAAAATAGGTCAATGAAAAGACAAGATTCACTTGATTGGTTGAGCAGCATTCCCTAAATATTTAGGATATTTACTTGAATTTATTCATGTCTAGAGTGTTAATGTTTATTGTTGTTCTTGTTTAAAGTGCTCCTAATTATGCCACTATTATCGAATACCTTTTATGCAGTGTGTAATAGAGCTGTTTGTGAATGTAAAATGTCTGCAAAGTTTTAAACAACGAAGTGCACGTCTCCTAAAAGAAAAAAATGGATTCTAAACTGCTGAAACGAGTCGTCAGCAATTGCAGTCTCACCTGTTATACGTAACAACAGTAACACATTTGCTTAATGCCAGCCTATGGTCTTCATTGGCTGTCCGCAAATGACGTCTACTTTGACCCGCCCTCAAACAATAGTAGCTGAGGCAGGGCTCCAAACTGCGACCAAATGGTCGCAATGTACAACCTTTTTCCTGCTGGTGCGACTAAATCCTGTTAGAGGTCGCACTGGTGCGACCACCACGTTGCCCAACTGACAAGAGCTGCCTTTTTATGCTGCATAAAAAGTGGAACGAAACCGCGCTACTCTGAGTTTAAACAGCTTCACTAAAGGGCTGATCTCGAGCATTCGAATGGTGTCATTCGTATCACTGTATCAAGCGCAAGGAAGCCTCCGGAGCTGAAATTCAGATAATGGTTTGTCGTGTTCTACTCAGAGCAGAGTAGACTTTTGCTAATGAGGGGTAAAGAGAGACTAAATCTTCTAACTAACCATTTTCAAACTGTTTGACAAATTAGGTGATTTACAATGTATATTTTGAGAACATGATGGTGTTTTTTAATACAAAATTAGGAAGCTTTAAAATAGCATAATGAGGCTCTTTAAAACACTGTTTTTGAGTCTTAAGGTCAATGTTTTCTTTTCTATTATTTGTTCCATTAAGATTGCATGTGCTTTGTCTGCTGATGTGACATTTGCTCATAGTTCATTCTTAAGCAGTGGGCACATTCTGCCGCTTTAGGGCTTTTTTTTCCCTGAAATAAAGTTATTTTTAACCTTGCTGATGTGGCAGGAGATGCTTCCCTGTGCCTCTGGTATTTTAAACGTGTTCCTCATAAGCCCCAAATCTCCACAAGCTTTTGTCTTTTGTGTACAGAGAATCAGATTGGTTTTGAATCTTGATTGGTTTAACTCATCTATTCATACTCCACGTCAAATAAAGCTTGAGGACAAATGCTCTCATGTGCTTTTAGTATGTATTAGTGAGCTCTAGAGATTGGTGGTTTTGACTTTCATGATTTCCTCTTAGCATGCTATTAAATGTTTAGACACTTCGTTAGCTGAATATAGAATGTACAATTGATGATTCTGTAATATAACGTCTAATCATAATTTCTGTAATGAGATGGACCACTGTGCTGTCACAGTCTGTTAACATTTTCACCGGGATGTCGATCTTTATTCTGGTCTAAAGCAAAGGTTAATTTCATTCAATCAATTAGCAAAGAAACTCAGAAAGCAGCCTGTCTTTTCTAACAAGTTTTGATGTTTTAGTCTTTGCTTTGAGAAATGTAACATTATGAAGTATTTCTTATTCCTTTAAACAAATAGCTTTGTTTATATAGTTGCCTTTTTCAATTGAGTTTGTATAGCCTAGGGAATGTCAAAAAACACAGCTTTTGCTTTAAATGGATGTTGGTAGAAATACGATGATGCAAGTTTTAACATCAACACATTGAGGAATCTTATGCAGAATTTCTTTTAATAAACTTATTTCCTTATCTTTTAGCGACATTTATCTTGCCATGACGTTTGAATCGGGCCCTATGCTTGCTATGACTTAAACTCTAGGGTTTAATAGTCCAAAAAGCCTTTAATGAGTTGGATGAGAATTAGTCATGCAAAACATTTGCGTTATTAAAAAACAATGTGATTAGATGCAATATGCTAAATCATAGTTGTGTATAATTGCTTGAGCGATGGTATTATGATTTGGGGGCAGGGATTTAAATATCACAAATATCTATTTCCTTTTTATAACCTGTAATATCTGGGAATCCTTTTTTCTTCTCTGACCTTTACCTCAACCTTTTGATTGTCATCTGTTCTCGGCAGATTGCTTTCTATTAATTGGAAAAAGTTGACGTGATCCTAACAGGCCTTCATGTGCTTTGCTGCCCTCTTGAAATCATTAACATATGACGGCACACATTCACAGCCTAACTGTATAATTAGGGGCCAAACCCCAAAGGGGCTATGGCACTTACTAAAATTGTTAGTTTTCTTTATTATTATTCTTCCTGAATGTAAGTCTATGGCAGCCTATAACCCGTAAGTATGACAATTATGAGAATTGGCACGCTTGTAGTATTGGTAATGATTAGTAATCTGATCAACTTTGGGTTATCTAGGACCAACTCTATTGCACCACCACCAGTTCAAAAATTCACATTTGAAACGGTTATTACTAGTGCTGCACGATTAATCGTATCGCAATCGTAATCGCGATGTCAAGCCTATGCGATTATATGACGCAAAATACTGTGATTTTATATGAAATAAACAAATTAGGGCTGTTAACGCAGCATCTGTTATTTTTTGTCATCCTTTGGCTACTGTACATGTCTCGATGAATGGTTTAAATTTCGCATGAATATTAAGAGCGAGACAAGTCAAAAGAGAGCGCGCTGCCTGTGAATGTCCTGACTGAAAGACGCGCGCCAGTATCATGCGCATGCACAGACCGCGGCGCCAGAATACAGTTCTCTTTCCGCTTGAAGTGAACGAACAATAACACACACAATTATGCCAAAATATCATTTGTCGAGTGTCTTTATAAGATAAGAGCAGTCTTATGATGGTCGAGTTGTGAGAGAATAAGGCACGTGTGAGATCCGCGGCGTCTCTGTCAGCAACTCTTAAAGGAGAACTCCGGCGCAAAATGAACCTTTGGTCTAATTACACATTGTTACCTAGTCAACCGTTATCTGAGATTTGTTTTCATGATTATCGAATGTAAATAGTTTTATCTCTAAAAACAGTTTAGCCTATAAAGCTAGTATAACGCTAGTATATTGGGCATAGTGTAATGACAAATAAAAATCGCTTGTTAAAGGTTCTCTAAGCGATCCTGGGTGACGTCACTTCTTGTTGACGTTCGAACTATTGTCAAACAAAACGGAGGCTAGCTAGACCCTCCCTCCTCCTCATCCGCACACTAACCCCCCAAACCACACCCCCAAACCCTTCTTGTCGGTCATTGGCTGGAACAGTTTGTTATGTTTTGGGGAGCGGGTCGCTGCAGTTTGTTTTTGGTGCTGTTTGTGAAGCATGGGCTGTCTACAGAGATCGCGTTTCTTTACAGTGTGTTCAGGGGACAGGCAGCCAGCGGATAGTGAGGAGATGTTTGCTGTATGTGACAAAAAATGTTTTGGCCTAAAAAACACATGACATCGCTTAGAGCACCTTTAATACCACTAACAAGGCTGAAAATAGACCCACACTAACACGGTAGCATAATGAGGGTCCCTACCTTCAAACCGAAGCTTTGAGAACTTTGTAAGTGTACAGACAGTTTAATAAGAAGATATTTTAAACATACAGTCAACTTCGCGTATACAGGCAGAAGCCATCTTTGAAATACAGCCTTTACCAGTCGATCTACGAACGCCGATCCAAGTGCGCTGGTGAGAATGATAAGGTGAGCGCGAACAGCAGGCTTGGATCGGCGTTCGTAGATCGACTGGTAAAGGCTGTATTTCAAAGATGGCTTCTGCCTGTATACACGAAGTTGACTGTATGTTTAAAATATCTTCTTATTAAACTGTGTGGACACTGACAAAGTTCTCAATGCTTCGGTTTGAAGGTAGGGACCCTCATTATGCTACCGTGGTAGTGTGGGGCTATTTTGAGCCTTGTTAGTGGTATTAACAAGCGATTTTTATTTGTCATTGATCTATGCCCAATATACTACCGTTATACTAGCTTTATAGGCTAAACTGTTTTTAGAGATAAAACTATTTACATTCGATAATCATGAAAACAAATCTCAGATAACGGTTGACTAGGTAACAATGTGTAATTAGACCAAAGGTTCATTTTGCGCCGGAGTTCTCCTTTAAAGGGCCAGCATCCAATAATGCTTTCTGTCAGTAAAGTTAATCAAAGAACAAAGGGAACAGAGAAAAACACTCACTGCTCTTGACCAAAGAACTTGTGTAGCTTTAAATAGGATTTTAGTCCATATAATTTATAATTTGTGGTCTATGGTTGAAAAGTGGAACTTAATCCCACATTACATTAGAGATTGTGCAAGCCTTAGCAGTTTTAAAATGTCCGTAAAGACTTGGCTGAAGGCGAATCAGATATGTGATCATTGACTTTTTTATATATTGTATATTTGTATTCTGGTTTTTATGTGAGTATTGTGTGTTTATGTTGTCCTTTTACTTTTCCTTGCCCAGGGACCACAGATGTAAATTAGCCGTATAGCTAACTCTGGTACAGGGCTTGAACTGTGCATGGTCCCTGATAAATAAACTAATAAATAAATAAATTTATGCAGCGCAGACTGTTTAATAACTTTATTCAATTTCTGTATATGTCCTACCTGTAGACAGGAAGAGCACAGGTAAATATGACATTTATTATGGGTTTATGTGAGGATTGTTTGAAGTTCACTTAAATTAAAATTAAATTAATTTTTATCCCGACATCAATGGCTTATTGATCATTATAGGTGTTATCAATCATTTAGTTGTTGTTGCTAGTTTGAGTTGAGAAATACACATTTCAGAATTATCACTAATCTGTGTGTGCATTTTGCTTTAGAACCAAGCAAGTTGACTCATGAAACCATTTGTTTATTATATCGCAATCGCATATCGCAATATTGACCTCAATAATCGCAATATGATATTTTCCCCAAATCGTGCAGCCCTAGTTATTACTTGTGAACCCTTTGATCTAG